AACTCTGGGCCACGGTTGGCAAAACTATGTGAAACGCAATTTAATTGACTTACATTATTTTGGTCGGCCAAACTCTGGGCCACGGTTGGCCCGATTGTTGCCATGTTGCCGACTCCCATGTGAGCGTAGCGTAGTGGTCAGTGTATAAGTCTTCGGTGCGTTAGGTTAGGGGTTCGATCCCAGCGAGCGTTAGATATTTTCGAAAATGTATGTATGAGATTGTGTTTAATAATAATAGGTAAAGGTTATATCTGATGTTCCTGCTAATAATAACGTGTTAATTGTTTAAATAATTTAGTTTTTTAATAATTTTTTGCCTTTGGCTGTTGAAGTTGGCCAAACTTTAAATATTGTGGTTGGCCCAACTTACGCATCTAAAGTTGTGCCGACTTTGGCGTCAGTCTTTGGACCAACCATTGAAATGTATAGTTGGCACAACATATGCATTGTAAGTTGGGCCAACTTCCTTATGAGTTGTCGGGCCAGCCATCGCATCGTCGCCATTAGACGGCGAACCGTTATCATCTGTATGGTTGGCCCAACCTCTGGCACGAGAAGTTGGACCGACTTTGTAAAAGTTGGCCCAACTATGGGCCGACCAAAAAATCGCACCTGGGTAAGTTTGCCAATTTACAGCTCTTTAGGTACTCTCTAAATCTGAATCAGCGAAAAAATCGCTGTTTTTATCAGTGAACGAAGTTTCCGCTGAAAAATAGTGGAAGTTACTGAAAATCAGTGGATGTCACACTGCAAAAAGAAGTATCTTATTTAAGATGTTTTAGTAGTCATTTCTAAGATGTTATTGTAGTCACTTTTTAGTCATTTAAAATATCTTAATTTAAGATACTAAAAGCATCTTCGTACATATTTTCAGCATATTTTTCGGGAAAAAAGTTTTGAGGTTAACTATGGGCTTATATGTAAGACATTTTATGTATCTTAGTTTTTAGTAACTTAAAATTTTTTCGCATCTTACAATTCACAAGTATCTTATCGCTAAACATCTTATTGAGACAGAAACATCTTAATTTAAGATACTTTAAAAAACTTACAGAAGTATCTTACTTTTTTAAGATAGAAGAAATATCTAAGACGTATAAAACATCTTAAAAATCAGTAAGATACTTTAGAAAACATCTTATTTTAAGATGTAAGATACCATTTTTCCATCTTACATCTTATTTTAAGATATCAAATAAGACACTTATTTTTGCAGTGCACTGAAGAAATCAGCCAACTCTGCGTGTGCGCAGAAGTGTCAAATATTCGTAGCGTAACCGATAATACGTCACCGCTGATTGGACCAGCGACTATTCGCTGATTCTCAGTGGTATACTTATAGCTATTTGAATTAGCGAATATCCGCTGAGAATCAGCGAGGTTTCGCTAATTCAGATTTAGAGAGTAAAAAACTGTGGGCGCCAGGGGGGCGGGTACATGCATGTTTTTCAAAATTTTCGAGTTTTTCGCTGAAAACACTATAAAGATCAATACCAAATATTTTCGCTATATTTTTCCTGTAATCCATTTTTGAAAATACATATGTGACGCGTCGCGAAGAAAAGCACCTAAGAAGCAAAAAAACGATTTTCGGATTATGATTGTTTCAGATAAATTAAAGATTACTTTTTAATTACCTAAATCGAGAATTAATTTTTATCGAATAATTAACTTAAATACTTTCGTAATAACAATTTAAAACAGAGCAATTCGTTCTAAAAGTTCATTTTCTCTTTTCTTTTTTTCTCCTTCTGTAAAATTTTCGTTATGCTATAGGTGCTTTTCTTCGCGACGCGTCACATATGCATACCAATTTTCATCTTTCTAGGTAAAAAACTGTGAGCGCTAGGGGGGGTACATGCCTTTTTTTGCGAAAAACGGCCAAAATTTGATGTTTTTCGCGGAAAACTCTATGAAGATCAACTCCAATCACGTTCGCTATATTTTTCGTGTAATCTACGCGTGAAAATACATACGTGTACCAATTTTTAGCTATCTCGATGAAAAACTGTGAGCGCTAGGGGGGGGGGGTACATGGTCATTTTCCGTAACCGTTTTAATAAGGTTCCTACCAGGTACGGAACCCTAAAAAGAATAAAAAAAAATGTTTATTCACCGAAACTTGAACGCAGAGTTACAAATTAAAAAGTCTGAAGCGTTACTACTGAACCATTTCAGAAGATATTGGCCATTTTTGTTATTTATTATTAAAGGGAAATTCGTTTTGACAGACTAAAAAAATTGATTCTGAAATCAATCCTCTAATTGATTTCAGGATAAATTTTTTTCATCTATTAGAAGACTAAAATTAAATTAATATTAAAATTCAATTTTTTTTTCGTTCAATGATTTTAAACACAAAAAAATGTTTTTAAAGAGAAAAACAATTTCTAATGATAAAAAGTGCCACAAGAGAGCAGCAGCTGATGGATGAGAAAATTCTAAGAAACCATAAGAAAAAAATGTTTATCAGAAAAATTAAGATTTTGAACTGTCAATTCGAGGCTTCCAGTACAAAAACAGATTCTACGCTCGAACACTGACTTTAATACCAGTCAAGTCGATAATACCTAATTGATAAATTTTAATTTAAATACGATCTATTAATGAATTTTAAATGTTTATCACCATTACGATGAATTATTTTTCATTTTTCAGCAAAATCATGAGTTTTCAGCGTCAAATTTGAATATTTTCGAACTGAGAGAAAAGTCTAAAAAAATAGAAAAATAATTTTTAAAATAAAATAGTTTTGTAATTCTTCACTAAATTTTAGAAAGTTTACTTAATTTATTGAAATCACAATAATTGAGATATTAGACATAATAAAGGAAAAGAATAATATTAAATAGTTTTTACAAATTAATAATAATAATTATTAACAACGAAATTTTAAAAATCAGAATGATGAAAAAAATGTTAATATCAGAAGATAGTAGTAAAACTAGTATTGTAGGAAATGGTTCATTTTTAAATAGTAAAATGTCAAAATATTAATCATTGTAAAATTTTAATAATAGGCAGCAGTAAATTTATCTTCTATTACTAAGTAACGTGAAAATTAAAAAATATTTAAATTATTGATTCTTCGTAATCTAAATCATTTTCGTCATCAGTTTTCTTTTTATATTTTTTCTTCGGCTGCAGTTGATGGAATGAATTTTTCATCTTCAGAAGGCGTTGATCCTGTCTTTCTTTTTCAACCTCGTAAATAGGCTGCAAGTAAGACTTGTTTTTAGTATGTACCAAAACAATTATTTTATAATTAAAATGTATTTTTTATTATCATTTCCCCCTCTTATCGTTGCCATTCAAAACTCAGAATATATACAAATTTCAGGGTTGCCCCAAAATTTTAACTTTGTTTTTCCTGACTTTTCCCTGATTTACAGACAAAATTTTAACTTTTTCCCTGACCGTAAAGAATATTCTGTGATTCTCTCGAAAAATTTTTAGACACTGAGAAAAATATTGTAATTAATTTATTTACGCGAATTTCTTTAATTGTAAAATTATTCGAAGATATCAATAAATTCTTTTTTAAATAAATATTTAATCACTATTATTTTTCCATAAAAATTAGGATTTATTTTAACTTCTCAACAATAATTTTTAAAAATACAATCACTAATGCCTTAAATATTAAATTATTATCCAAAATTTTAATTGGAATTAATTTTCAAAACAATTTTTATCAGAAAATTCTACGAGAATTCATTTACTTAAATGGAAAAATAAATAATTTATTCTATAATTGAATGTTTTTTAAAATTGAATTTTTATGAAGAAATTTATTAACAGCATTTGAAAATAATTAAATTTAAGAAATGTAACTAAACTTTTACTTAAATTATATATTAAAGAATTTTATAACAATTTTTTGAAAATAATTGAATTATTGCAACGAATTTTATTGAATAATTGAATGCTTCTTAAAATTGAATTCTTTTGTCAAGTTTTCATAAAATTTTTAAGAATAATTGCATTTTTAGAGAAATTTACTTAAAATTGTATTAAAAATATTTGAAATTCTGCGGTGAAAATAATTGAATTTTACAAAGAGTTATATTGAAATTCTTAAAAATAATTTAATTTCTGTGAAGAATTTTGTTATTTATCAAGATAATTGCGTTAATACTTGTAATAATTGAATAATATTAAAAAATTCATTCTTGTCAGAAATAGAAAAAAATTTTCAAGGTTTTGTACTAGAACTCGTGGTAGTTTCATAATTAATCAGGCAAACAGAAAAGACATAATAAATTCAAAAATTTTCTTATGAATTCTAAAAATTTAATTTTTTCCAGTGTTTTTAATAAAAATTATTTACTTTTCCCTGAACAGTTTTACTTTCCCTGAATTCCCTGATTTCCCTAACCTGTGGCAACCCAGAATTTTGAATATACAAATTTTCAGATTATTAATTGTGATAAACTCCCGCAGGGAAAATAAGTGAGATCCCACATAACTTTTAGATAAGAAACTCGGTAATTCATTTTAAAAAAAATTTTTTTTTATTCCTAAACTTTACTAGCCTTTTCTTTATTCCTAAAAATGAAAAATTTTAGGTACGAAAATCGATAAAATAATCATTAAATACTAACATCATCAGTATCAATTTCCTCCTCTGATGAGCTGTTGTCGCTATTATATTTCTTGACGTCACTCACAGGCGGAAAAGATATCCTTTTATTCATCAGTCGGTTTTTTGCTTTTAAATCACCTATAAATGTATAATAATTATTATTTATACTTACACCATTTCAAATATTAAACTTTGACCTGCTTTATCGGTTGTACAATACACACGTGCTTCTAACAGTATCTTGATTTATAGTGAATTTGAATAACATTATCGAATTTATAAGTGCTATTTTATAGTATACTTTGCCACTTAAGTGTTAGTGCATTATTGAAAATTGTGTTGTACTGAGTTGTTGTTCTGAATTGTTGTTTTTTACTCTTTTTATAACATTCTGGATTTTTCCTCTATTTTTGCCATGGCAGTTTGTCCCGAGTGCAATGTGGTGATAAACAGAAGTGTTAAGGATGCTGTTGCCTGTGATAAATGTGGCAGATTAGCCCATTTCGCCTGTTCAGTTATTAACAATGAAAAAAGTGTTAACAAAAAAACCTCTATCCGTTTTATTTGTAATAAATGCAAAATTGATAATCATAGTGACATCTCCGTTCTTCAAAGCCAACTTCCTAGTGATAATGATGGTAATCAACCTTCTAACTCGAATAATTCGGGGCTATCGCCTGCAGTCTGTGAAGCAATTCGGGTGGCAGTCGAGCAGGGGCAACATTCCACATTTGAGAAAATTGAGAACATGTTTGCTCTGTTTCAGGAAAAACAGTTTGCTTTCAATGAAAAGCTTAATGATTCTATTCAAAGCTTAAGGGATGACATTTTGGAGAACTCAAACAGAATTTCACATCTTGAATTTGATTCAACCAACTCAACGAGAGAACTTCAGGATGCAAAAAAAAGATCTACAGAATTGGAGGCTAAAGTTTCATTTCTTGAGCGTGACTTAAGTATGCATGAACAACTGAGCCTTCAAACTTCATTAGAGATTGCTGGACTTCCATTTAAGGAAAATGAAAATCTCACTTCACTTTTCTGTGATGTCTCTAAAGCATTAGGTGTCAGCATTAAGGATGAGGATATTTCTAATATCTATAGAGTGAAACGAGACTTTAATCAACCTAACCATCAACAATCTTCTATTATTCGAGTTAAACTTACCCGGCAAAATTTGAGAGACTCGGTTCTGGATCATCGTAAACGATTATCTGACTTTTCTACTGTGAATATTGGGTGGGCACACAAGGAAAAATGTCCAATTTACATCAGGGAAATTCTGTCTGCAACCAATCGTAGGATATTTGCCGGTGCTTTATCATTACGAAAAATGGGCAAGATAAAGTATCTATGGGTGGCCGGAGGAAAAATTTTTTGTCGAAAAGAGGATGGAGCACCTAGAATGCAGTTGTCCAGTCTACAGGATGTCAACAAGTTTCAATAGCAACTATGGAATGAGTGTTGCACTAATTTTCTTTTATACCTATATAAAAGTAGGGATTGTTTGTTTAAATGTTTAATTTCTAACTTGATAAAATCATTTTATTATAAAGATTCTTATTTCTTTCAAATAATGACTTTAGAATATTTTACATATTTTTTTTCAATTCATTTTTTGCTTAAAGACTTGTTATGTAGTCTAATTTATTTAAACTTAATGAAAGTCATTTCTATTAAATTCTTAATATTTTTTACAGTATATTGTGGCTTTTATATTTTCAATTGTGATATTGTTAAATTTAAATTTGAAATCATAATGAACGAGTTCTCGACTATTTTTCTCAATTGTAAGCTCAAAGCTCAAATGCTTGCTGTACTTTTCTTTGTTTTCACTAATTAAAAATGAATATTATTAATTTATGTCATGTGAATGCTCAATCTTTGAAGGCTCATATTATTGAATTTAGAGATTTTTTTGAAAATGAGTTTTATCATGTTATTGCAGTCTCTGAAACGTGGTTAAATTTAAATGATGCCTCTAATCTTGTTGCTCTTAATAATTACAGTCTTATTCGTAATGACAGATCTCTACGTAGAGGTGGTGGTGTGTGTTTTTATATTCATAACAGTATTGTATTTTCCTTGGTGTGTAGAAGCTCTGAGGGATTCCACCCTTGTGCAGAATTTTTGTTCCTTAAAATACAAACTAATATGGACAATGTGTTGTTGGGTGTTGTTTATAAACCTCCGAATGCATCATTCGGCAATGAATTTGAAAGTCAAATTTCGTCATTCACACAATTTTTTAATAATACCATTATTATGGGTGATTTTAATTGTAACCTCAACAGCACATCCCCCATTACAGATTATTTAACATCAACAATTTTTTCTCTTGGTTTGTCTGTGGTCCCTCATGGTACTACACACCACTTGTCTAATTCCAGTACAAGAATTGATGCCATTTTTGTCAATGATCTCGATAGAGTTCTTTCTTATAATCAACATCCAGTTCCTTTTTTGTCGAGTCATGATCTAATTAATATCAAATTTGAATGGGGAGGAATTCAGCAACATACTAACAGGCAAGCTAATTTTATTCGTAATTTAAATAATATATCTGAAACTGAATTCCTCTCGCACATATCAACTTATGATTGGGCATCATTATTTTCTGACACAGATATCAATTTCAAGGTGTATAAGCTCACATCATATTTGACTTCTGCATTTGATCTTTTTGCTCCTCTTTATTTATCATCAACAAAGAAAAGATATTCACCTTGGATGACTGATGATTTGAGGAAACTTATTAAAGAGAGGAACAGGATTAGAAGAGTTTTTACAAGAACTAAAAATAATGATGATTATGTAAACTATAAAAAAATTCGGAACTTAGTTAAAACCAAGATCAGAGACGCTTATAACAAATTTAATTATAATACATTAAAATACAAAAGTACGTCCGGTGATATATGGCACACTCTCAGAAAACTCAACCTTATTCCTGATAATAAAAAATCTTTTGATAACAGTTTCCAACCACAAGAATTTCTAGATATCTTTTCTAATGACCCTATTCCCATCCCCACATCTGTTTCTGGTTCCTCCTTTCCTTCTATAGATATTTTTGACGAAAATAAATTTTTTTTTGATGATATATCACCGGATACCTTATTAAAATCCCTTAGTGGTGTTAAGTCTAATGCAATGGGGCCAGACTGTATCTCTATTAAAATGATAAAAATTGCTCTTCCAGTCATTTTTCCTGTATTATTACATATTTATAATTATTCACTACAGACTGGGATTTTTCCCGATATTTGGAAAACGAGCAATGTAATTCCTATACCTAAAATTCCAAATCCGAAAAGTCTTGGGGATTTCAGACCGATTTCTAATATTTGCACACTATCAAAACCTTTTGAACAAATAGTTTGCAGCCAATTGACATCTTTTTTATCGAGTAACAATTTGTTAGAGCCGTTGCAGTCAGGTTTCAAAAAGAAACATAGTACATGCACGACTGAATTGGGTTTTACTACTGATATTAAATGTGCCATGGATATTAGAAATATAACGATTGCTGTATTTTTTGATTTTTCCAAGGCTTTTCCCTCAGTAAATCATAAACTTTTAATTGATAAATTTTATTCTTTTGATATATCTAAGTCTGTTTGTAATTGGTTTGAGTCTTATTTGAGTTGTAGATTCCAGAGAGTTATTGATCGAGGGGGTGACATTTCTGATTGGGATAGACTTAAATGTGGTGTACCGCAAGGTGCCTCACTATCATCTTTATTATTTAATTTATTTATTTCTGATCTCGGATGCAAACTTAGTTATTGTAAATATCATAAATATGCAGATGATTTTAAAATATATATTTCTGGACCAATGTCATCTCTTCCTCAGTTATTGCAGAATCTACAAGTCGATATTAATTATGTTGAAAAATGGGCAAAGAATAATGGTCTTGCTCTCAATTCTGGTAAGACTCGGGCCATGATTTTCTCAACGTCAAATAGTCCAACTAAGGAATACTTGACAACTCTTCCACCTCTCATAGCAGGAGGTATTCCCATTGCTTTTACTGATACTGTAAAGGATCTTGGTATTACGCTGGACCGCTCCTTGACTTGGAAGGAACATGTCCTTGGAATATCGCGGAAAACTTACATTATACTGCAGCAACTGAATAGAAATAGAGAATCAATTCCAACCTCGACTAGATCCTTATTAGTAAAAACATTAATATTACCTATTTTCGATTACTGTTGTGTTGTATATGATGATATAACAAAAGAACTAAATTATAAGCTTGAAAGATCTTTAAATGCTTGTATACGATTTATTTATGGTCTGCCTAAGTTTGAGCATATCACAGCATACAGAATTGAGACCGGGCTATTGAGTGTTGCAAGTAGGAGACAATATTTTCTTGGATCTTTACTATATTCAATTTTTCACAATCAGTGTCCAACATATTTATATGAACTTTTTGATTTTAAATATCAAAAAGTAACAGCGAGTATTGGGCTTCGAGAACGAAATCGAGTTTTAAATGTTCCTACTCATCGTACTTGTATAATGCAAAAATCATTTATTATCAGAGGTGCGAGACTATGGAACAAGCTACCAATTGAAATTAGAGAATCGTCGACTCATTTTATATTTAAGAAACTTTTTTTCAATTTTCTTTTTAATTGCGAGAATCAATTTTTCAATATAACATATTGGTAAATTAGATATTATTTCACGTAATTGATTGATTTATTTATGTATCTTTGGTATTTTTGTTATTATTAATTTTAGTAACTTGATTTTGCATAAATGATTAATCTTTCTGTTATTATACGTTCATAATTACAATAGTAGTAACATTTAACTCTTTCCTTAATTAAATTGATGTTAGTATCATATGCTTAATTTCATTGTTAGTCATTTTTAATATACTACTTACTGTTAATGTACGTCGTAAATTGAATTTTATACCTGCGAATGTATATTTAGTAGTATATGATTAGAATATTATAATATTTAACTTCTTTTTCACTATAAATATAACTGTATCTATTAAATTGTTTCTTTGTGAGCTATTTAGCTCTAGAAACTGTCATTAATAAATATAAAATATAAAAAATACATTTGTATAAAATAACATTAGAAAAAAACCAATGAAAAAATAAAATTAAAAGATTTTAATAAATAAGCTCTTAAATGTAAGTTTCAAATTTTAAGTTTTAGAAATCTAAAAACCATAAATTATTTAAATTTAATATCTATAGTAAGCTAAAATACTAGAAATAGTTTCGATTTGATTCAAATAATCCGTTATTTTATTAATATAAATAATAAATCAGTAAATAAAATGATTCAAATAAGAATTAGAAATAAATAGGTATTTGAGAATAGTCAAGTAACTCATTTAAAAGCAAAAATTATTACTCCCTGGGTCTATGCGTCCAATGATTGCATAGCACCACTTTTTTTCATCTTTAACGCATCTCACTTTGTACTCCTTTTTCGAATTGTAATGGTCTTTTTTCACTTCCAAATAAGAGGACGGTATAACATATGCTCTTTTAATGCAGTGAGTTAAACACTCTCTCGTATATTTAACACAAACCCACGGCATTATGAAGATTAAAATGAAAAAGAAAGAGTAACATCAAGAGGTTAAAACGTAAGGTGTCAATTCACGGAATTTTTTTTCACAGAAAAACAAAAGATGGTTAAATTGTAATTTCAGGGAAATTGTGAAAAAAGCTTTAAAGTCTATTCTTTTTAGTTTATAATTGTTAATTAATTTTTAAATTATACATCTCTTTATTAATATGCGTTTTATATTTTATTAATATGCCGAAAAATACATGTGAACAAGAAACCCAAGATTAGTTAAAATTTTACTTTCATTAAAATATCCTAAGTAAAAATTGAATAGTTTTTGCACTGTTCCACAAAAATATCTTTATCCTTACCTGAAAAATCGTTGAATTCTAGTAACTTAAGGATTTCTGTGAGTTGGCTAGTGAGACTTACACAAATATTTAAAAAATTATTTTTTTACTTATAAAATTGTTCAAAAATAACTAAGCGTGGGTGTATCGTGGCAACACCTTTGATATAAAATTGTTCAAAAATGACTAAGCGTAGGTGTAGCGTGGCAATACCGTTGATATAATATTGTTCAAAAATGACTAAGCGTGGGTGTAGCGTGGCAATACCGTTGATATAATTATTTAATTAATTAATTATTCTACAAAAATGAGTAAAGCGTGGGTGTAGCGTGGCAATACCGTCCATATAATATTCTTCAAAAATGAGTAAAGCGTGGGTTTAGCGTGGCAATACCGTCGATATAATATTCTTCAAAAATGAGTAAAGCGTGGGTGTAGCGTGACAATACCGATAATATAAAATTGTTCAAAAATGTCTAAGCGTGGGTGTAGCGTAACAATACCGATAATATAAAATTGTTCAAAAATGTCTAAGCGTGGGTTTAGCGTGGCAATACCGTCGATATAATATTCTTCAAAAATGAGTAAAGCGTGGGTGTAGCGTGGCACTACCGTTGATATAATATTCTTCAAAAATGAGTAAAGCGTGGGTGTAGCGTGACAATACCGATAATATAAAATTGTTAAAAAATGTCTAAGCGTGGGTGAAGCGTGGCAATACCGTCGATATAATATTCTTCAAAAATGAGTAAAGCGTGGGTGTTGCGTGAGAATACCGTTGATTTAAGATTCATCAAAAATAAGTAAAACGTGGGTGAAGCGTGGCAATACCGTCGATATAATATTCTTCAAAAATGAGTAAAGCGTGGGTGTAGCTTGACAATACCGATAATATAAAATTGTTCAAAAATGTCTAAGCGTGGGTGTAGCGTGACAATACCGATAATATAAAATTGTTCAAAAATGTCTAAGCGTGGGTTTAGCGTGGCAATACCGTCGATATAATATTCTTTAAAAATGAGTAAAGCGTGGGTGTAGCGTGGCAATACCGTTGATATAATATTCTTCAAAAATGAGTAAAGCGTGGGTTTAGCGTGGCAATACCGTCGATATAATATTCTTCAAAAATGAGTAAAGCGTGGGTGTAGCGTGAGAATACCGATAATATAAAATTGTTCAAAAATGTCTAAGCGTGGGTGTTGCGTGGGAATACCGTTGATATAATATTCTACAAAAATGTCTAAGCGTGGGTGTAGCGTGACAATACCGATAATATAAAATTGTTTATGTTACGTACAAAGTACCTAACAGCTATTTCTTTATTAATATCTTATTATCGCTACAGAAGTTTGAACAGAAATTTGTCGAATGCGTATTCTTTTCATATTACATTATATTGTAAATAAATTGCTCACAAATTTATAACCAATATTAATGCTCTATTTCTGTTTTAAAATTTATACAGTACACATATTTTATAATTTAAAAAGCAAAATATAATTCCATTTGAGAAATAATTAAATGTATGGCATCCACTGACTCCGCTGACTACGAGAACTAATACAACCATAAATTCCTTGTATTACGGTCACATATACAAGCTCGCTATACATGCCTCTTCTCGTTGCCTTATCTATCCTATGGAAACCCTCCCTTTTCCCCTTTGGGCCCACAATCTTACGGACTAGAATAGTATAACTAATTCACATGCATTGTCAGCTGACAAAACGCTTTATGATGCGTACATATTTTATTTTGATTTATGCACAATTCCAAATCAATGAAATAGTAATTCGACAATAGATAAACATTTTGTTGTAACTTTGGTTAACAACAAAATGCCGGAGGACATTAAATTACATGTATACAGTACCGTCCGAAATTGTCAGTCCACCCATTTTTAAAGGAATGAAAAAAATTTTTTAAAATAAAATTCATGAAAACTAAAATTTTTTTTGGTTTATATTTTGAAAGACTATAAAATTTTAAAAGAATAAGACCTCACAGAAGTCATTTGGACAAAATTTGTAGAAGATATTCTTAAAAATCGTCATTTTCAATGTTTTACAAAAATTTGAATAACTTCTAAAATAATGAACGCTTTTTAATAATCTTAGGCTTTTTTTAAAGGTCATTTTCTACGGAATAAGAATTACTTATAGGCATTAACCTATAATTTTTTATTTGGAATAAGCATGACGTCAAAGTTGGACAAAAAAATTGGAAAAATTTGAAATAATATTATTAAAAGAAAAATAATTATTTAAATTCAAACATATTTTTTTATTAAATTTTCTTGAAAAATCTACACCATATCATGTTTTATATATGTTCTAGAATAGTTTTTAGTACAAAAAATTTATTTCAAATTTTTCCAATTTTTTTGTCCAACTTTGACGTCATGCTTATTTAAAATAAAAAATTACAGGTTAATGCATATAAGTAATTCTTATTCCTTAGAAAATGACCTTTAAAAAAAGCCTAAGATTATTAAAAAGCGTTCATTATTTTAGAAGTTATTCAAATTTTTGTAAAACATTGAAAATGACGATTTTTAAGAATATCTTCTACAAATTTTGGCCAAATGACTTCTGTGAGGTCTTATTCTTTTCAAAATTTTATCGTATTTTAAAATATAAACCAAAAAAATTTTGAGTTTTCATAAATTTTATGTTAAAAATTTTTTTTCATTCCTTCAAAAATAGGTGGACTGACAATTTTGGCCGGTACTGTATGTGTATATGTATAACTATGCATGCAAAACACATATACTAGTAATTTATATCATGTAGGACTAATATAATTACAACAAAATAAATTATATTTATCAGTATAACTAAGACGAATAATAATTTTATTAATTAAAATAATATAATTATTAGGGGAGTGTAAGGTATGGTGACGTGTAAGGTATGGTGGCGCACTTGTCAAATCTGGCATGTAACGTCACATCTGAAGCGCATTATTACTATGGTCGATGTCTTTTATCGGGATGACATTTTATATGCAGTAGTATTAATGATCAAACGCGTGCTTTGTACTTTAAGTGATTTTGAATAAAAAAGTAGTGAAAAAAGAAAAAAAAGTTTTATTGGATATGTGTGTTAACAGTGCCAGAGTGAAGATTTTTTGAAAATTGAGTCTGGTAAATGTATGGAACGTATTGTTTAGACCTTGGACAACAGTTTTTTGTATTTTACATTTTTCTCAATTCGTGCTGTATGAAAGCAACACCATCATATTTTCATCAATAGCTTGTAAGGTATGGTGGCGCAATTTTTTTAACGTACAGTGGCGGATCATTTTTTGAACGAGTTTCAATTGTCTTTGCATTTTTTGTGTACTAATGCCTCATGTGCTCCAACGCAACAATTCTCGAATATGTGACACTTGCGGTCTTCTCTTATTCTAGTTGCGTTAAAACAGCCACCAGCTACTTCACATGTCCAAATTGTAACCATAACTGAAGTGAAACTTTTTTTTCTATAATGTAAAATCATCAGTTTTTTCTTTTTTTGTTATGTTTCATCGTTCCTAGTAGTTTAAATAAATAATTTTAACATCTACATAATATTTTAGTTAAATACACCAAATGCGTCACCATACCTTACAACTTTCAAAAATAAAAAAAATCAGTTTTTTGCGCCAAGAGCTGTAAAATTTCACTGAATTTAAATTTTAACAGCCGCTTCTGACAGAAATATGCTTAATAGATGTCAGCAACTGCCTGCTTTTGAAATTTTAAAAAATATTGTTTTTTGAGAGAGAGAGACGCAAAAAAGAAAGTGTCCGCCACCATACCTTACACTCCCCTATTTATTTCTTAGTTATTTTAAAATAAGGTGTCGAAAAATATCATATTAACAGACTATTTCTGTTCTCACGGAGCTACCGTGAGATCTAAAACGTCAGCAAAAATGCAACGTCCAATGGGCCCATGAATTTTCCCTACTCCTAAATTTTTGTTTTCCCCACCTTGACAAAGAAGGCAAGGGTTAGAGGCTTGTCGCAAAATTTCAATCATTGCAGTACGATTTCTCGAAGACACCTCTCCTGGGTCTAACCTAGTAAGTGTTTTGGGACAGAGAAATTTCGCGATTCGCCCGTCCACGACCCGGAACCCGAATTTCTCGTTGAAATTTAGGGCAGACGTTAACTTCTCAAATCCTCTAAGCCGGTGGAGTCCAGTGCGGGCTGATTTTGGTGAGATTTTGGAATTATTAACATAATTAATAATTCTAAAATCTTGTTATTTATAACCGGCCGGTTGCATAGATATTGCCCGCGTCCGTCTCAAATATCGGTGGCCCACGAGCGCGATCAAAACCAATTATCGAATTATCGGTTGCATAGATATTGCCCGGACTAATTCGGTAAAAGGTAGATCCGCAGTGAGTTTTACACAGTTGTGTGAGACGGCCGGTTGCATAGATATTGCCCGCGTCCACTCACCACAAGTGCAATCTCGCAAACAAAAGAAAATAGCGCGAATCTTACGTCGCGATTTTCGGTGAAAACAAGAACAAAAGAATTTTCGCCCGACGGATGCTTTGTGATTCGAAAGAGGAATAGCTCCGCCGGTAGTTGTAAGTAAAATAAGTATCGTTTCAATTACATATTCTAACACACACACTTTCTATTTGTAACACACACTATAACCATTCTGTATTCAAAAGGTATTTTGCTATTCTAAAATAAATCATGTATTCATAAAATCAATTTCTTTACTTACCTAACTAAACCTAAAATTCAAATCATTCTAAAAATACTGCATTTAACGAATCAGAAGGTAACTTTTAAAAGTAGGATAACGTCCCCACAAAATTAAACAGAATAATAAAACATTCTGGCAGCTTGGTGCCTCCCCAAATCGAGATAAAAGGCCATCTCAAAAGCCTAATTTATAAATTTATTTCTGGTTTGTAACAAGCTGATGGTGGCAGCGGTTTGATTTTCCTACGCGTTACCGCCCTGCTTCGTTACCTGGTAACATTTGCTACCAGTGGCACCAATTTTCACATTTTTCAAAATTTAAAATTTTAACATAATCGCTAAATCAAGGGTCTCTGTTTCCTCTCTTATATCTTGCCTGTCTTTTCTTTATTAAATTTTTCTAAACTATATTTAATTCGAACCTTATAATTCATTAAACACAGGAATAATAAGTATAAAATATATAAAGGATCACTGTCTTAGAGAAACTACGAATTTGGCTCTCCAACCAAAAGGTTGTTGATGATGACTTATTCTACGTTTTCGATTTTGGCTCTCCAACTGAAAAGTTGTTGATGACGACTTAATCAATTAAGACACTGACTTTTAGTATTTTACCTATTTTATACTCCTAATTCCGATCAGAAAATTAAGACTTCTTGCTTTAAACGAAATTGGAAATTTGGCTCTCCGACTAGTCGTTGATGATGACTTAATTCTAATTTATTCCTGAAGCATTAAGTGTAAACAATTGATCGAAAATAGAAACGAGTTAAATAAAAATAGAAATAAAATTTTCTTGTGATTATGAGTCGGGTTTGGAATATCTAACAAGTTTAGACGACGCGGTAATCGTTTAATAAAAAAAACGAAATAGTGTATGTATCTCTAAACTGTTTCCAAGCCTTATTTAATTCAAATCTTATAATTCATTAAACACAAGAATAATAAACATAAAATATATAAGGGATCACTGTCTTAGAGAAACTACGAATTTGGCTCTCCAACCGAAAGGTTGTTGATGATGACTTATTCTACGTTTTCGATTTTGGCTCTCCAACTGAAAGTTGTTGATGACGACTTAATCAATTAAGACATTGACTTTTAGTATTTTACCTATTTTCCTATACTCCTAATTCCGATCAGAAAATTAAGACTTCTTGCTTTAAACGAAATTGGAAATTTGGCTCTCCGACTAGTTGTTGATGATGACTTAATTCTAATTTATCCCTGAAGCATTAAGCATAAACAATTGATCGAAAATAGAAACGAGTTAAATGAAAATAGAAATAAAATTTTTCTTGTGATTATGAGTCAGGTTGGAATGTTTAGCAAGTTTAGCCGGCGTGGTAATCGTAAAAAAAACGAAGTCACGTTACTAACTCTCTAATTAATAACCTAGTAGTAGTAATTTCCGAAAATTCAGTGCAGGAAAGCAGAATTGAGAGTGTTCTTGGTAATTCACAAGAATACTTTAAGAAACCTTTAACACCCCTATTAAAAGGAAGCAATCTCTAAACGTTTGGAAAGAATTTTCTGATTTCTTTGAATACCTTCTATAACAATCCTATAAGTTTTTATATTGGAGAAAGCGTGCTAAAAAATATAATTCATTTATATTTTAATTGGTTTTGGATAGTCCGTGATGACAAGTCTCCGTGATTCGCTCACTGGATGACATGGCTCCGAAACTCCATAACTAATAAATTGCTCGCTTTCGTCTAGTAAAAAAAAATTTTATTTTCTCTGAATGTTACAATGTGTTTTCTTTCAATTGACAAGGTTTTGTAAAAATCAATCAATTATATTGATTTTAATTTTCTGTGATTAGTCCGTGATGACAAGTCTCCGTGATTCGCTCACTGGATGACATGGCTCCAAAACTTCACAGATGAATTAGCCTGCATATCCTTGTTCAATAGACAAAAAAAAATAAAATTTGTTACTCCAAGAAAATAATCATTTTCCTTAATTCCTAAATGCAAATGGTGTTATAAACACGTAATTGTTAAAATTAATTTTTTCTAGTTTTAACAATTAGTGAGACAAAATCGCCAGTTGTGGGTACAAGGCGGCAAGATTGGGAAACTCCCTTGTCGAATCTGAATATATTTCATAAGGAAATTGGATAGAAATGAAATAATTTTCCTTTCTATCCTGTGACACTCAGAAGCGCTGTTGTAAGTACTGATCTCCCCGCCTAGGAGAGCTTCCGCGCTGAATTTGTTAAACTTATCACACTATTTAATCCTAATAAAAGCAAATTTTTCTTTTATCATTCTAAATATCAATTTCCAAAATTTCCGTTAAAATTGCTAACCATAACGTTTCACAGAAAAAGAAAATTCTGCTAAAAAAAATGTTAATTACTTTTAAAAAAAAAGAAACTATAAAATAAACAAAATTCTGTTACAATAAATTATACACTTTTTAAACTAAAGTGAAAACAAAAATGCTAAAATAAAATCAGAAGATTTATTGTCATTTTAAAACAAAAAATTAGTCCGTTTCACTTATTTACTTTATTATTTTTATCTCGAACTAGTAAAATTGAAATTTTAGTTGACACAGGAGAAATAAATTAATTTTTTCTCTTTACTTAAAATTGAATTTCTCGTCTGTCTAGAAAAGAGGCACCAATTCTGTCTGTTATAAATTCTAACTAATTTATTTTTATAGAGTTTTAAACAAATAACTAATTTCAAGAATTGCAGTATCGTTATTCTGACCTGATAAATTTTCCTGCGATGTATCAATAACTTCTCTTCAAGTAATAGTACTAAATTATAATAATAACTATAATATACTAATAATTATTATTATAAAGATGATGATTGTGTAATATAGTTATATAATAATGATAATAACATAAATCTGCTATAACATTGAATTAAATTGCTTAAAGTGGAAATTAAAAAATAAATAAATATCTAGCTAAGCATGATAGAAAAAGTTCTATAATTTTCAAAACATTAATTAGTAGATTAATTGATTTTTAATTGCTTGCTTTATGTTAAATTGATATATATTTTTGTAAACTACGTAGGCCATTTAGTTTACAAAAATATATTAACCTTGTTTAATCTAAGGTTGTTCTTTATGGTCCGATATCACCTTGAAGTTTCAGGAGTTTTTAAATTTTAGGTAACTTTCAGATTTAGGCAGAAATGATCTTTTGCAAGCCTTTCTATTTCTATTTTTCAAATTAATGACAATAATCAGAACACCTACTGAAATTTACATTACTATCAATTCCAGGCTTTTCTTTAATGCTTTTAATATAATCCCTGATATAATCCCTGATCATATTTCATGTATCTTGCTGACTATAGTATCACTCTTCATTGTCTTACAATTTTTTTATTAACTTAATTTTAATTGCATTGAAAGACACATAAAAAAAAATAAATAAATAAAAAAAAAACAAATAAATAAATTTAAAAAAAAATATAGCAAAATTCGAAAAGAAACAAAAAAAAAGTGGAAAAAAAATTAAGAAATTAAAAAAACAAATAAAAAAAAACTGAAAAAACAAGAAATAAAAAAAACAAATAAATAAATTTAAAAAAAAATATAGCAAAATTCGAAAAGAAACAAAAAAAATGGAAACAAAAAAATTAAGAAATTAAAAAACAAATAAAAAAAAACTGGAAACAAAAAAAAATTAAGAAATAAAAATAAATAAATAAATAAAAAAAATAGAAAAACTATATTTTAAAAAATAAAAGTAAAAAAAAAATTTTTGAGAGGATATTCTTGGGATATCTTTGGGATGTTATTCGGATATTTTTTTTAAAAATATAATTGTAATTTCCTAATAACTTATTTCAAAATATATACCATTTTGTTAAAATAACTTTTAGATAATATCTTTGGTAGATTGAAGGACAACCGTCGGATATTTCTAGGATATTCAATAGTTGTAACTGAGATTATCCGTTGATATTTAAAATAAAATTTTTTTTGCTGACTAATTTTAGATGCACAAATTACATCCTCGAGATATCCAAGTGATGACCTGACAATATGTCAATGAGTTATTTTCCTTAAAGTAAGAAATATCCATGGGATATCCTAGATTATCCTGTGTGGGATGTCATGGAGCCTGGTTTGGATGTTTGGGCAAAATCTTATCTTATGACTATTAGAAAATGGTTTTGGTATGAACATGGATATTCTTTGCAGCGAAAGTTTCATTGATTGGTCAATTAATCAATGAATCAATAAGATGATTTCTAAACTCTTTAACTTTCTTTTCCTATTGGTTGTCCCAATTTTCAGTAATAAAATTGTAATAAGCGAATCCTACGTAAATTTCTCATATCTCAATCTTACGTATCAGAATTCTATAAGTTTATGACACCTGGTCTACGCGTCTAATGAGACGAACGACGAACTATGATTCGCATATTACAAAACTTGTATCTTATGAAATTCTTTCTACCCTACAATTTATTATAAAAAAAATTTTAAATATGTTTTCTTATCTTTACTAAAATTTTCTTTACAAGTATCAGAAAATTTCCGTAGTGGTGAAATTTTGATACTCTATTCACAAATACACTGTCTATTTTATAAAAAAAAGAATGTGCAATGTGTGCACATACACGTATTTGTATCAAGAAAACTATTAAATGCATTTTCAAAGTAGTTTTGTAAGGTCACTCTTCTTAAGTGAAGAGTAAAAAGAATCTTACTCGTCTACTACTATTAGAGTTGCTTTCGTCTAGTAAAAAAAAATTATGACAAATATAAAAAACGATTGACGTTATAATCCAATTTTTATATGATTATTGATTCTCTTATCTCATTTAAACATTAAAAAAAATATTAATTATAATAAATAATTAATATCTTCTATTTCATTTTTGCAATATTTAACCAAAATTTCTGCTAAAAAATGTAATTCGAAATTGTGAAATTTTAATTGAATGGTCTAATGTTGTTTTGTAATAATGACTAGATAATTTCAACACTAGAGAATAACATAAACAAGATTCTAAAAATCACCTTAAATCTTATTATCAAAAGTTCTTAAGATTCAAACTTAATTGTTATTTTAGTTCTCAGGATTAAAAAAAATGTATAAAGTAACCCTTAGCAAACTATCACAAGTATTTTGTAAGGTCACTCTTCTTAAGTGAAGAGTAAAAAGAATCTTACTCGTCTACTACTATTAGAGTTGCTTTCGTCTAGTAAAAAAAAATTATGACAAATATAAAAAACGATTGACGTTATAATCCAATTTTTATATGATTATTGATTCTCTTATCTCATTTAAACATTAAAAAAAATATTAATTATAATAAATAATTAATATCTTCTATTTCATTTTTGCAATATTTAACCAAAATTTCTGCTAAAAAATGTAATTCGAAATTGTGAAATTTTAATTGAATGGTCTAATGTTGTTTTGTAATAATGACTAGATAATTTCAACACTAGAGAATAACATAAACAAGATTCTAAAAATCACCTTAAATCTTATTATCAAAAGTTCTTAAGATTCAAACTTAATTGTTATTTTAGTTCTCAGGATTAAAAAAAATGTATAAAGTAACCCTTAGCAAACTATCACAAGTATTATATTGAAACTAGTATGAAACAAAATAAACTTTCGAAAGAAATAAATATTTAGAATTTTATATTTAATTTAATAAACATAAATTTCATATCTGTGTCAGTAACATTTATTTATTAAAATAATAATATTCAAATACGATTTCGATTAAAAAAAATATAAAAGAATTAAAAAAAAAAATCTGTACAAATAATAAAAAAAACCAAAATAGAATATCATTGAAGAATGTATCTGCAACAAAAAAAAATTAACTTAAAAAAAACAAAATTTTCAAACTTGTCTACTCCCACCTGGCATCAAGTTGTAGAAAATTTTCCGTGGTGGAGAAAATTATCTGCTCACTGCGGTAATGTGAATCCCGCTTCAAATGTTTAAATATTTGACTATTTAAATTTTTAACCTTTTGCCAAAAAGCAAATATATTAATTTGACAAAAAAATTATAATTTTTGACTCTTCTTTATCTTAAAAATTTTTTCTTATTTTCAAAATTAATTTATACCTTGCTCTTTTACTTTTCTGGAACTATTTATGTTTCTAAATTTACTAGTTCCTTATACTATAAAATCTTATTTCCAAAATTCTGATACTCTCAATTTTATTAATTCATCGTATTTATTATACTGTCATAATTAACTATAAACATTTTCTCTTTCTTAAAAAAAAATTTTTATGGCTCAATTTTTATTATATTGAATTTAATGTTTTATAAGAGCTTTTTCTGCTTATTTGTGAACAGCGTAGGAGAACTCTAATCAATTGTTTGGTGTAATGTTAAAATTATGCTAACGTCAAACAATTGCCTCTTTTAATTTTAAGCTTGTAAATTCGAAAAAATAAATAACATAAATTTTTAGTTAAAAATAATTTTTCCATATAAAAGTTACAGAAGTAATTATTAATAAAATAATTATAAAAATAGTCAAAAAAACATGTTTTTTTAAAAGAAAATCTCCTTTCTTCGGAAATCACTTTTGGTAAATGGAATTTAATATTATTTAAAACAAAAAAAGGTAACCACCTACCAATAAACGTCACAAAGTTGAACGACGATCTCGAATTTGAATAATAAAACGATTTTTCTTTATACATATACTAACAATAATATAATAGGCGAAAAGAAATAATTATTTTTCAAAATTTACTTATAATTCTTAAAAAAAATAATATTAGAACAAAATATAATTTTTAAAATGAGAAAATAGAATTTTTCTGAAACTAATTTTGTTTAAATTCCATACATATCAAAAGTTATATAAAAATTCAATGATTTGAATAGAAAAATAATCGATAAAATATTTAACTGTTAATAAGAAATTGCAACTGGACCTCTACTTATGGACTCTTTTGAGAAGGAAAATTCAAACCAAGCTTTTAATAATTTGATTTTTATATAATTTATAATGTGTGTTGTAATATAATTATTAAATAAATTAAAATGAGTAAAGATAAATTTAAAAAAAAAGATAAGGCTTAGAAAAACAAAATTTTACTATTATGGTACCTAAAAAATATCGATTTTCCGGCGCCCAACTTTGGAGCCAATTTTGAG